TACTTCAAATTCTAGTCTAAAATTGTTCCAAAAAGTTAAAAAAGCATACAAGCCTTTCCACATGAAGCAGCTAGGGTCCAAATTCATCACATCTACCTTCTGATGGATACAGCCAGAAGCACATAATATTGGGAAAAGGTTATTTTCAAACCTGGGGAAGGGACTCATCAATTCTGCTTTTAGAACTCACAAAGGTTGAAAACAAAAAAGCCTCCTAGTAATCTTGACAATTCATTAGTAAAAATGTGACCAAAATCAATAATGCAACAATAAACTTCTACAGCTGTTCTCCAGGACACAGTTTCACTACAGCAATTTATTTTGTCTTATCCAAGGAAGCACACAAGGCACATAGATAAATGAGACCTAAGCTGTATGTTTACAAAGACTACGAAGAAATGTTATACTGCCTATTTAACTAGATTCACATTACCAAGTACTGCAGCCCAGCAGTTAGATCTGCAGGGCAAAAGGGTGCTGGAGGAACGATGCCCACCCATATGCATTTCAGGGAGTTTTGCCTTTGGATTAGCTCTGCCCAGTCATGCTGACTGTGCCCTCTAATTCAATCTCACCCATGAGGAACTCAGCATATGGACCTGAGTCTGTGCTAGGACGAACCAAGTACACAATTGGAAGTGACCACCAGAGTCACTCTCAAAACACCCTCCTGATTCCAACACACCAAAGTCAACATATCCTTATGGCAGCTTGCAACCAGTTTGCCCAGACATTTCTTGGAAAATCCAATCACTAGAAGTTTATTTCTCTTCAGACCATATTTATATATAAATCTTGATTTATGATCAAATCCTGAAGCTCTTCTCCAACAACATTAACCTAAGACAAGTCAGACAGACCTCAGTGTTTTGTCCTACAAAAACTAAGTGATCATGAAATGGTGAAAGATGTGCTGTTAGGAGGCTATGTCCAGAGGTCAGCTTTAACACTGCACTGTGCTTTGCCAGCAAAAGCAACCAGCTTACTTGGTCAGTGCCCAAGTTTAGAGCAGTGCTTAACTTGATTTTTTTTGAAGACATGGCCTTTGAAAATATTCTTCAGAAAAAAAAAAAAAATCTGTGGATACATCATAGCTATGTCTGATGAAGATCCCACACCAAGTCTTAGGACAGGCTAACATGACTTTATCAGCTGGAAGCTTTCTTGTCTCTCAGTACCTCAGAGCCAGCCTCAGGAGTAAGCATTTTAAGTAGGTAGATGAGGATGAATAAAAGGAGCCATAGCTCATAGTACAACTGGTATTTTAAGCAACCTGATATTTAATGATATTAAGCAAAACTTGACATAGGCTAAGTCACCAAAAGTAAGGAAATTATTCCATATAGCTTTCAAAGTATAGGAAAAGACACAGAATTAAATATATTTTGAAAAAAGAAAAGAAAAATTTAGGGCCTAAACTGACACATTTCCACTCCTACCCCACTAGAATAATTTTTAAGTGACCTGAACAGCTTTATCTGCTTCACCAGCAAAAACTCAACACAAAAAGCAACTACAGTATCTTTCATTTGTTCAGGAAGGAACATAACAAGCTTTATGAAATAGTGCAGTAACTGCTTAGCCAAGTGTGTACACAGCTATAACAACTCATCATCCAGTGCAGTTTACTGTTGCTTAAAGCAAACAGCAGATGTTTCAAGAACTGAAGTAAGATTTATGCAGCCCATAGCTAAGTGGAAAGGACTATAGGGTAGCCTTTTCTCAGTCACTCAGATTTATGAAAGCTGATTAGATGATACAAAGACCTTTGTGTTTTACAGTAATTCAGGTAGGTAGTATTTTACTCCCTATATAATGAAAAAACACCCCTAATTTTCTCCAAGAACAAGGATTTATTTGCTGTCAGAATTCAGAGTATCTGTGTCTGCAGAGAAACAAGCTGCCTATCTGCAGAGAAAGAGACACATATATACAAAGAATAAAAGAAATTTAAATTATTTACTGCAATAGGCTGGCAAGGATGCTGCAAATACAATCTAAAGTGGTATTCACTGTTCATTCTATACACCAAGCTATGAGGTGTTCACTTTGCAGAGGGAAAACCCATCCCTCCAAGAACTAGGGGGTACTCACACTAACTTCTTCCTTTTTTATTTCCTCCGACAAATTCTTCCTTTGTCTTCAGAACTCAAAAGCTAATAGTATTTACCCCCACTACCGCTGCAGATTAAGTATATGCCATTTACTACAGCTCAGCTACTGCAAAGTAAATATGTAAATGAACTTGCTTCTCTGAGTCCTAAGTCTGCCATTGTTAGTGGGGTCATCCAGAAATACTGAACTGACACATACATTTTAAAATCACCTTTTCACAAACACATTAAAAAAAAAGAGAAAAAAGAAATAAAGAAAAAAGAGGCAGAATGACATTGTCTGCTGTCAAGTCATTGACTTCTGAATAAAACTCAAGGACGGACATGCTTTTGCTTCCCTTTCACCAGCAATTAGACATCAAGCAGCACTTCAGACGTTTGCCACAGGAGCCAGAGATGCCATATTTGTATGGCTTACTGTCCATAATAGAGACTTGTAGAATTTGCTTTCTAACCACATGAGAATCAGTATGAAAAAAATCACATTGACAGCTGAATCATCACAAATCCAGCTGTGACAGGACATAATTTATATCCTTAAAATATCTGATTAAACTTCAGGTTTTCCTTCATGAAATTAGGATGATGCAGTTTAACTACTCCCATCTAACCAGAGGTGAGAAAATATAGTCTTCAGTTGAAAAAACAAAACCAAAACCCAATCATAAAACCAAAACTACAAGCAATCCAGGAGAGTCTTACAACAAAGGGTTACTGGAGAATAGTTTTTTCACTCTAAATCCCCCTATTTCAATGTCATTGTTACAGAAATAATTACTAAGTGACGATGAAAGTTGACAGTAGTCTTGCTCATTAGGCAGAAAAGACTGCCAAGATACCTCTTTTAGAATTAGTTAGTGCAATTATTTTCTTACTAAAAGCAGGGGTCAGCATCTACATACAGACAATAAAGGTTTTTCACCCCAGCTATTCAGGAATAGTGTTGTCCTTGTTATTTCTTGTTTTAATTAGCAGGCAATATTTGAATATGTTCAAAGTACCAAGTGCAACACCAACATTATATGACTATTTTGAAGTAGAGTCTAGGTCTTGACAAAAAGTCTGAAGAAGATGAACCATCCTCAAATTTATTTATTTTTCAGAAGAGCACTGAAAATGAATTTTAAACATGTTAATAAACTCAATTAAAATACTGTAAAAAGCACATTAATGTAATAAAAACCTAAAGTTAAAATAGTTTTTTGTATCAAGATCTACATTAGCAGATGATTCACTAAGAATGTGCAGTTAGTGAATAATTTGCATATACACATCCTTGTGTTCTACTTATATGTATCTATGTAAACATACAACCCCCCTCAAACTGTACATTCCAAAAACAAGCAACGAAAAAAGCCTCAATTGCTTCTCATTATTCACATGCTATGTACCTTAACATAATGTTATTCAACATTTTTTCCTCTAGAGAAATACATATGTTTGGAGGGGTGTCTCATTTACATTTATCCTATCAATTTTACCACATCACACAATAGTTGCATCCAATGTACAACTACATTCAGAAGCCATCTAGTGCAAGTTAGACAAAGCAACTTTGAAATAAAGCATTTTAAGCTTTGATATTGGAAAAATATGAAAGTTATACTGACAGCTATTATATCTCCAATGAAGTATGACAAACTTGTGCAATTCTTTGCTGACAAGAGTATTACTATTCCTGTAGTTTTAAAAGAGCTGTTCAGCAGCTGTAGTAAAACTGTGGAGTCCCAAACTGATGTATGCATTGATTTTAATACTTCCCATTCACTGTTTTAACTATCACACCCTCACAAATCAGAATCCCAGCTAATATCAATGAAACTAATTTCAGCCTCTTCTGGTTTTTACATTGTTTTTACTACTTAAATGCATATCTGCATCAGGACAATTAATACAAACTTGCTACTTCACTGCAGGTCCATTGGTACAGTTTTTATTCTGATGCTACTTGACTTGGTCAATACTACAGCCCCTTCTTGCTACAGTTGGCCTTAGCAACTTTTTAATAAAAGCTACCTGTGTTTTTTGTCACTAGAACCATACATTGAGATAACTGGAAAGTGAGGTAAGTTTACACTAGCAAATATACAGCCTTATTGTTATTTAGGCTAATATATTAAAAACCCAGCTGATTAGTATATCACAATATACAATAAATTGGCTGGCTTTAATCCATAGGTTTTTAACTCTACTAATATTTAAAGGGGTAGAAATTAAGGAACTGCAACATTCTCCTTTTAGTCACTAAACACTGAAGGTTTTTTTTTTTTTACTGCCTCCTTGACAGGAAGGAATGATTTCTGGTCAGCTGTACAAGAAATATCTTGTTCCATTTCCTAAGTCACACACACTGTATACATGTCTATACTACAGCCAGTGAAAATATACTCCATTTGTTTATAATACAAGCTGATGAAACAAAGATGCTTCTAATGTAATGAAAGCTTACATGAACAACAGTCAAGAAAATAATCCAACAGGTGGCAGCTGTGTATTTCTTTGCTTATGACATCTAAAGATGTCCTAAAACCTAGAGTTTTAGATGATCTAAAACATGCAGTTTTACTTTTGGATTTCAGGGTTTTGCTTATCAGATATTTAGATTCCATGCAACTTCAAAAGGCCAACAATGAGGGAACCAAGGGTCAGGGTGCACACAAAAAGTTTGTACTAGAAGCTAGGGGTGGCCTGTTAGCTCCTCTATGGCAGCTACCCAATGGTACATTCCATTATATATATAGCTATGTAAAAACAGGTAGCTTTGTGAAATATGTATCAAAAGTTAGGCTAAGCTCTCTTACATCTCCCATGGCAAGGATATACAGGCTATGCACAGAGCGGTGACAGGGCATCATCAGATTCCAGTCTCTAAGATAATTTGTTTGAATTCCATACAAAGTGAAACTGAACCATGAGAGGTAAAATCTGAGAAACTGAGAAAGAAAGCATTGCTATAACTTTATAGCAAGACTTAAACATAAACTTTTCTCCAACACAAATGTTAAAGTTTCTATTCAACTTCTTTAATAGTCAAAGACTTAGTATCACCAACTCTTGACCAAGAAGCAAGACATGACACATTACATCAGAGGTTATTTAGCAGGCCCTCCTTTTAAGAATGAAAAGCCACAACTGATCAAAAAGCAGGAAAAAAAGCCTCTAAAAAAGGCTTCTAAATTCTTTTGGAAGAATCTTGCCTTTAATTTTCAATTCTAATCTGTTACATTAAAGCCTGTGGGTTATACAAAAAAACAGCTCAAGGCATGAGTGAACTGTAACAGGAAAAAAGCTGATGGAAAACTCAAGTCTCATTTACCTACCTGTCCTTGCTGCAATGAGATGTGTTGCTTTGTCAGGATCATCAGCACTCAGTACTAGATTCTTCACAATTTTAGCTCCAAGTGCTGTGGCATGATAGTGTTCTCGTGTTTTCTCAATGGGGAAGTTTGTTGGGTACAGTCCACTAAATATTATGGTTACATCTGCCAACACTTTACTTTTCAATTCTGGCACTATCTTTCTGATGTCTGGAATTTCCTCAATCTCTTTTTTCAGGTATTTATCATATTTTGTGTAATAATCAGTGTGAACCCGCACAAGGATCTCTTCGAGGTATATTAAATGGTCATCATCATCTGTATCATCCTCCTCCTCTTCTTCTTCCATACTCTGGTCTAAGGACTCACCCATTGTAATTCCAGACTGTTCACTATTCTGAGACTCTGTTTCAGCTTCTTTCTTGTCTGCACACCCATTTCCTAAATCACAAAGGCTTTCCTGTTCACTTTCTTCTTGTGCCTCAAGATCAGTTTTGTCATGAATGTTTTCACTAGGTAGAGATTGCACATCCCCAGAATGGTTCACCAGACCACCCTTCTTCTCACTCACATCAGTGCAACTCTCTTTTTGTAAATTTTCATCCTGCAGAGGTTGTTTTGATTTCTTCCAGCTTCTCTTTTCCTCGTTTTCACTATCTGATACAGAAGTGGATGACTTTCTGGTATCCAATCCACCGTCACTTTCACTGTCACTAGACAGTTCAAAGTCCAAGTCATTTGTTGTCTTGTCTTGGGTTTGCTGCTTCTCTATCATTGTGCTATCAACCTGTTCTAAAAAAATCTGAGATTCTTTTGTATTTGTCAAATCATTAGTGACCTCACTGTCCATTTTGTGATCAGTGCTATCATTTAAAGAGTCCTGGGCATTAACTTTATCACGAGAGTTCATATCCCAGCCAGATGTTTCACTGCTTACAGAAGTACTTCCATTTGCAGCGCAAGTGTCCTTTGTAGCTTTGAGACCATTGCTTTGTTCTTCTACACATGTAACATTCTTTATTTCTTCAGCATCTTTTGCTGATGTCACTGCTGAATCCAGTGCCTCTGGTTTTGTAGAGTGGTTTACTAAAACACAGGAAAGAAAGAAATAAAACATATGTTTTCTCAGTTTTTTTTTTTAAGCTTAATCAAAATTTAATTTTCTTTTTCCTTAAACACACAGTTTAAATATGCAGTTAGACTTCACTATGTTTAGAAGTGACAACTAGGCTTTTCAAAGTTGTTAAGATACTTATTTTCAGCAGTATGTTGAGACCAGAGTTTATTAACTACTGCTCCAGAGTGGGGCAGGGAAGGGGACAGAAAAGGACCACCTGACCACCTACAAGAAAAAACTGCCTTGTTTGACATGGAGGGTGGAAGAGAGCAACTGTCCTCCTCTACATATCCTTGAACAATTTGGCATATTGCCATTAACAGCCAAAATGCTATTACCAGTACTCCACTTCTGCTGCGGTTGCCCACCAAAAGGAAAGCTATCAACAAGAACAGTACAGTTTTACTAAGCTACTTGCATTTGTGCTACAAGAGCACTCTGCCAACTACAACAGTCTAGGATTGCTCATCTGAGCACAACAGCAGTACTAGTAAGACCACCACAATAACTTACATCAATCACATTTGAAAGGTGGAAAAAGTTGTAAAAGCAGTTTAAAGAGTATATAATTACCTTTCTTCTTCATTTGAACTTCCCTTGATCCAGGAGGTGCATTAATATCTCCTATCCCCTGAAAGTATACATATTTCTTCACAGTTATCAAGTTTGGTGCAAACTTCCAAACATCCTCTCTGTCATCAATGATGCAAACCATGGAATCCCCACATGGGAAGAGATCTCTGAGACAAAACAGTTGATCATATGAATCCAATTTTAGAAATTAATACTATCAATGAAAGTAGTTTCTGTTGATGTTCTGGTTTATTATGAGCATGTCTGCAGGACATACTTATATACAAACTTACAAAAATCAGCAATATTAAAATTACAGAATTCAAAATACAATAGTTAAACTAATTAAAATTAATAAAAAAAATGAAACAGCTATTTTTAAATCTCTGTCCCAAATGCCAGAAGCAGGAACAAACAAGCCTTTGCAAGAACAAACATTATAACATTTTGGTCTACTTTTCATAGTTTATGAAATAAAAGTTGGCCCAAAGACAACTATCACATGGACAAAACACTATCTAGATATAACTAGGAAAGAGACACAAGAACAGTTTTAAAAAGCAGACTCATTCAATCTAAGACAAAGGAAGCTAAAAGTACTAATACTTATATCACCTGGGCAGAGGAGGTACAGTACTAAGATATACCCATGTCTATGCGAACAGAGCAAGAGAAGAAAAAAGGTTCTCATTTGCTATGGTCAGATGGGGAGGGGGCAATCATTTTTAATCTAGCTTTATGAAATACTAAATATATCTGTCTTTTAGAAAAAAACTTGGCTTTATACTTCAAAAAAGATCACAACCTGAATTTAGACTAGAATATGAAATTCAAGGCTCTAGATGACCTAATTTCAAGAAACACTGCAGAACAGAAGCTGCTAGATGTACAGCATATTTGAAAGCCAGAATACTAGATATTCAAATATGAACTAACCTCAAACTGAGAATTTTGGTTTAATTAAAGAAACCATAACATACAAGTCATTATACATGATCACAAGCCATAAAGTGGAAATATGGTTAAGTTATTATAAGTATAAAAAGTGTAATGGTGCCATTGCTGTACATTCTTACTGTTCTAGTACCACAGAACACATTAAGTAGAGGAAATGCTGCAATACCCAACATCTCAGTTTTATTGAGACAGTGTTGATATTTAAGAGGCAGATAAGGAATGACTATAAACATGTTAAGGACAGAGGGAGTAATTTTTATTATATTTAGCATATTCTGTCTCCTTGTTGTCCTGTTATGTTTAATACATAAGACCTATATACATACCTAAGATTCCCAGTTTTAGAAAATGGATCAATACATTCATCCCTTGACAATATCCGATGGGAAAAAAGCTTCTTTTCAGGGTCCAAAAATCCTTTTGAAAGAAGAAATTAAAAAGTTAATGGTCAAGATGTTTGTTCCTTGTTTAAGTTCTATGTAATTCAGCTATTTTAATGTATGCAACAACAGTTTAACTAACAGATGATTTTAAGGTAAGAGATATTATATGGGGGAAAGGGTAAGAACAGTGGATCAAGTATTTGTAACTAATGCAGTGGGATTAATTTTAAAAATCCCATCTCATTTTCTTCCAACATAGCAACAAAATCAAAATTAAAATAACTAAATTTGTGACAGCCAAATAAATTAGGCTGAAAAAGATACAGCAGGTGATAGATACACATGATTTTTGCAACTTACATTTATCTCTCTACAGGTGGTTCTTTAAAGCTAAATGCTCTCCTTAGCTCATTATGCCTAGGGACTGCAGAGAAGTCTCACAAGAGTCGGCAATGTGCTGCAATACTTAAGCACAATGGGCAAGTTAAGGGACAGTTTCAGCCGGAGCTCTTGCATTTGTAGGTTTTAAGTTGTACCTCTAACAAATACTTTAATACATTTACATATAATGAATATATCTTGGGATTCCTAGAAATATTTAGGCCCAGTTGGAGTTACTTTTCCGACTGCACTCTTTAAAAAAAGACAAACCAAAACAGAAGCTGTGCTAGCTGATCTTAAAGCAAGATAAAATGCCATTATTTAGGAAAATAGTGACTTGGGTGTACAAACACACATGCACATGCTTCTGAACCTAGCCTTCAATAATGATGTTCATGAGCAGATTACAGCTACATAACCACTTAGAATCAGATTAGCATGTAAAATGCCAGTTTCAATTTTTCATTTTACTGAATTTACATAGAAGTTAGCATCAACTTCTCATTATTCTTACGAAAAGTACAAGGCAGTCAATACCTATCTGGGAACAATTTTCTAAAGTTTTACTTTATGTTATTTTAAATGGTGGCCATCTTATAGACAGAAACAGAGGTCAAAATGACTACAGACTAAGGACCAACTTTAATTTTCTTTCAAGGAGCTTTGAGATTTGCACAGAACACATGTTCAACTCCTTTTAGAAGTCCAGCTCCCAGGAGTACATTGAGTCAAGTCTTCAAAAACAGAGGGTATAAATTAAAAGAAGTCATCACTTCTGAAAAGTTGATCCTGTATATATTTAATATTAATGTGTAATTGGAATAACTTAAAACCCATAAAAGCAAGAAAATTCCGAGTTAAGGACAGAGGTTCAACCTTAACTCACCCGACTATGCTTAAGAATTGCTGCAAACTCGTAGAATCATCCCCTGTAGTGAGACCCTTGCAGTACCTAGGCATAATGAATTGAGAGAATTAGCTACAAAGATTTATTGCTGTACACACAGATATTTTGACAAACTACATAAGCTGTCATATAAGTCGCTGTTCTCCCCAACCAAATTCTCTTCTACTAATTATCTGAATACACAGGGACTCTCTATGCTGAATTCAACAGGAGTGCACTGATTAAATAGCAAAACCACAATGAGACATTTAATTGTAGTGTTGTCTAGCTAAAACTGTAAAAAAAGGGAAGTTGAACTAAGAAAGCCCAAACACAGAAACCCTGGCTGCCAGCGATTACAGATGATGTAATGTTCTGGAACTTTTCAATAATGCTTTAGTAAAGACTTATTAGTTTTAATACTTTTCCCCCCCTTGATAATTCACTAAAAATACACTGAGGATACAGCTTACCAGAGATGCACCTGCAAAGATAAAAGCCCATCTTAAGAGAATCGGGTCTTTCAAAGCCAAGCTACTTGAATAGCAATATGGAAAACAGCACTGGTCTTTTAAAGAAGTTCTTTACATGTCTTAATCTGTTTGGTTTCTTTTGGATGTTGCCACATTTCAGGAAAATGACAGATAACATTTAATTCATCATACATAATTTGTTTTCTTCAACAGTATGTTAATATTGTCTTCAAATATTTGAAGAGGCTATATTGGCTTTTCACTAACCTATTTAGCAATTTAGTCCATGCAAGAGCAAACAAGACACCTAGTGGCTAGATCACATACTGTTAGTTGAAACATTAACTTTTAATTCGTTTAATGATTGCAAGTAGAACATAAATCTGAAGAAATAAAAACTTCACATTAAAAATAAGTAGATGCAGATATGCCCTCCAAGGTAAAACTAAGTAAAGGCTAAGACTTAACTTCTTTATTAAAAAAATAAAGTCATTATTACACTGCTTTCAGTAACAAAAAGAACAGGGCAACCCTCATTATGAAAAACTCTATTACCTTAAAAATAAAAATCCTTTCACAACCTACATATTGAAAGATTTAGAATTTTATGCTAATACACTGCTTGAATATTAACCTTTAATAATGAAGCTGCAGGTTTCAAATGGATGATACCTTCCAAAGTGTTGCTGGCTTTTTATTTAAGAAAAGTCAATACAGACCACTAAAAACGCATCTGTTTAGATGATGTCACTTTTCTGTGAGGGCATTTTGTTGCAAGTTTCTATGGCTTCAGAGTGATGAAAAGGTCTGTGTATAAACTATAAACCCATCAAGTACACAGAAACCGCAAAAGTGTTCCTGAGATGTACTCTTAACTTTGTTTCATTTATTTATTTATTCCTATCCATTTCCTACAACCATATCTTGAAAAATGATTATGGTCACATTTTGCTGCCTTAGGATTGATAATGAATTTTTTCTTAACAGATTTTTTTTTTTTCCATTGGAGAAGTATCAGATTGCCCAAGTCATTCCAGTAGAAGGATAAATGTTGAAGATTTCTCATTTTGTAAGCATGTTTAAAAAAATTAAAGCCTTTTGTAGAAGTCAAAATGACTGAAGACAACTTGCTGTTTCAAATCAAAACTGACCTTCCATTTATTCTCATAAATTAGCCAATGCACTAAGTATGAAAAGGACCTGGGGGTGTTGGTTGACAGCTGGCTGAACATGAGCCAGCAGTGTGCCCAGGCGGCCAAGAAGGCCAACAGCATCCTGGCCTGTATCAGGAATAGTTTGGCCAGCAGGAGCAGGGAGGGGATTGTTCCCCTGTATTCAGCGCTGGTGAGGCCGCACCTGGAATACTGTGCCCAGTTTTGGGCCCCTCACTACAAGAAAGACATTGAGGTGCTGGAGTGTGTTCAGAGAAGGGCAACAAAGCTGGTGAAGGGTCTGGAGCACAGGCCTTATGAGGATCAGCTGAGGGAACTGGGGTTGTTTAGCCTGGAGAAGAGGAGGCTGAGGGGAGACCTTATCACTCTCTACAAGTACCTGAAAGGAGGTTGTAGCGAGGTGGGTGTTGGTCTCTTCTCCCATATAGTTAGCAATAGGACAAGAGGAAATGGGCTTAAGCTGCGCCAGGGGAGGTTTAGGTTGGAGATTAGGAAAAATTTCTTCACGGAAAGGGTGGTCAAGAATTGGAACAGGCTGCTGAGAGAGGTGGTGGAGTCACCATCTCTGGAAGTGTTCAAAAAACGGGTAGATGTGGCACTTCGGGACATGGTTTACTGTAGTCTACCCTTGATTGACTTAGAGTAGACTTGGTAGTGTGGGTTAATGGTTGGACTGGATGATCTTAAAGGTTTTTTCCAACCTAAATGATTCTATGATTCTATGCCTCTAAGTAGTTTCCTGAACAAACTGAAGACACTATCCTTTGACTGCCATATTACAAGGGACTATTCAGTAGACTTACCTAGCAGAGACTATTCCCCCCGAGTTGTTTGTTTTCCAGTATCTGAGACTTGGTCTTTGCACATAGAGTCTTATCAAGCTGTGTTACTTGATCTTATATAGACTCTCTTAGAAAAGTAAACTTGTAAATAAAACTTGTAAAGTTAAGTTAAAAAACATCACAAGGTGCAATATTCAAAAGTAACTATGTCATATTGGGGAAGTCTCAAATCTTAGAGACAGATTGAGTTAAATAGCAATTCCTAGTAGAAGTGATACAACAGTAGGATCCAACATGAATGTGAAGAAGTCCTTGCAAAATAAATCTGAAATTGAATTTCTTAAGAATCAGGTCACCTCCAGTTCTACTTCAGGTCCTACATTAGAACCTCGAAAGAGCTGTTGACAATCGTTCAATAGCATTGGAGACCTGCAGACACTGGTGATTACATATACACACATATTCTGTCAATTATTTATGGAAATACATACCGTAATATATTTGCTGTAACAAACCATACATATGAATGCCCTCAACTTAGGCCTACTTTCTAAATTCCACTATGAATCTTAAGAGTGATTTCACATTGCATTATTGTTGCCTAGTGGCCTCTGAACTCAAAATTCACAGTAGCATTGACTTTTACAACCAGCATTTAAGCTGACTTCAGTATTATATATACCAAACTTCTCTTATGCAGAGTAGGAAAAACATTAAATAACAATTGGTCAAAATAGTTATGTAGAAGAGAAATACTATCGGAAGCTCTAGATTATAAAATCCAAAACTCATCTTCATAAACATACTACAAGATACCACTTTGTAAATATGTCAAACTAAGAAAAGGTTTAGGATAAATGACCTCAGCAGACATAAATGGTATTTACAACTATCAGCTAATCCCACTTAACAGCTGATAGGAGTCAGCTGGGATGAGAGAAAAGGACTGAGATGTCATCTGTTTGCAAAATGAGGAAAAAGCCTGCCAGCACATGGAAGGAGCAGCTCAGAGTTCAGATTTCACAAAGAAATATAGGATGTATATGGAGGACCTAGGAAAATAACGTTTTTCTTATGAAAAAGATTCCTGGCATTTTATTACAAGTCCTTCATTTATGTAACATAGGGATAATGGTAAAATAACAAACTGACAGTTCTCTGTGAGAAATCATTTAACCAATACTGCCATCAAGTGTTCTCTATATGTATTAGCTATGTATTTCTGTTACTGCATCTTGGTTACATGGGTATGTGGACTAAAGGCTGTATCAACTGTTTCTCCATACCAATATATTTCAGCTGAAAGTATCATCATCACTGTACAAGTAATCCACTTGTAGTTTGAATGCTTTTGAGGAGGTTAGACAGCTTCAAGTAAAAATCCAGAAGTCTGGGGATGTCAGGAAGCAGCAATACCCTGATTTACTCATTTGGTGGCTATTTCCTCTGTGAAACTGATGGAGCAGCTCAAGTACGATGCCCACAAAAAGGCTTGTCACATTATAAGTATCAGGCTGTGCCAGCATAGGGACTGCAGGATAATACAAATTTTAGCTCAAAGATGAGCAAACAGGACCAAATCACACATTGAGACACAATCAATCATTGTGTTACACATCATGCGTTAACTATCTGCAACTCATTCTTCTCCCTGTCTCTGAAGCATATTTGCTATACATCTTCCGACCTTATTTGGTATGCATCTTCTAACCTTAGGCCACACAGATCCAAGTGAGAAAGACTGCCCACCTACTTTCTTACTACCAGGTATTTAGACCTAGCATATGAAAACTATTCCCCTTTTGCTACACAAGAAGTAACCACACTCCAAGAAGGACAGCAGGGTACAAAAGTGTTAATGCATCAGCAGTACACAATGTGTAATCCAACAGTGAGACTAACAAAGCTCTAGGAAGATTCTTCAAACAACTCAGCCAATAAATACTGAGTAATGTAGAAACATTCACTTGGATGGGCAGGACAGGACATGCCTCTCCTGAACTTTCTTTCAAAGAGAATTAGTTGGAGACCACAAATAGGTATTGCTATTTGTCATTACAAGCATCTTCTGTGGCTTATTTAACATGCATAAAGAATTCTCTAATCACACAATTCTTTTCTAAACTGTTCTAACTATTTTGGAATCTTCCTTTCTTGCCAAGAAGTGTGATCATTGGGATAGCATTGCTCAAGGCACTCGTGGCAACATGACACAAAAAAAGCAGATGTGAAAGACAACTTAAAAAAAAAGCTAGGAGACATAGAACAGCAGCAAGGACAGTTTGACATGCAGAATCATAACCTAAAACATTGTTAACTATATTGTTTTAGTCCAACAGACTTAATAAAAGAAAGTCTGAGGTGAAAATGCTATTCTGTCAAGGAAGACTCAAGGTGGGGTGAAAGCCAGTTTTAAACAAAGGGTCACACTCCTAACATGAATTTGACCCATATGCTTGCATAACAGGGTAGGTTTCTTTTATGCTTCTTGGGAAAAAGAAAACATTTCAGCCAGAGACCCATACCACAGACTACTATTGCTATAATTTAAATACAAGTTTTCACTTACAAGCAGAAAATATTTCTAAGTTCGAGAAGAATACGTGAAAATACTGCTAAATCTATGCTTTTCCTCCAATAGGCTCATCTCAGCTCCAGGACACAAACAGAACTGCTGTACATTGATTTATAGCAGCCAAACTTCCTTTGGTGAAAGGAAACAGCAGGTGTGGTTCCCCACAGAAGGAGATAATTTCATGTTGTTGATTTTTACAGAACTGTTGCTTTAGATTTTTAAAGACAAGTGATGTTGCAGATCATTTTTAGAGCCCATCAGCATCATTTCTTACTTAATTCAATAGGAAGGCACTAGTTGTCATGCCACAATCTGATTCTCTAACCATCAGGGAAGCAAAAAAGCACATATCTGATGGGGGAAAAAACAATTATTTCTAAAGTTACAGGCCACACAGGCACTACCTTGTCAACAAGCCAAGAATTCTGCTTACAGGACTATTTAGGAAGTGTTTTTGCACAAAACAAAGAAAAATATTTGAAAACCACAGAAAGAAAGCTAGTTTTATTTACGTAATCAGCCCTTCATACTCATATTAAGTGTAACATACTACTCACCTGCAATTGTATGCGCATACAGTCTGCTGCCAAAAGTAAAAACATGTAATTCATACAGCTTGGCAATTTTTTCCAGGAATTCCTTACAATGAGGACGCAAACGAGTATGCAACATGGGCTCACCTCGACCTAACTGGAAATGAAATATTCCCTAGAAGAAAAAGCATGTTTCATATTATCAAAATACCAAACAAAAATGCCAGCATTCCAGAAACGTCCTCTTCCATCACTTCCACTACTTTTATTCAGACTGACTAGGCTAAAGCAAGTTTCAGTCACAAAGATTATGTGGATGAATAAAATCCAAAGCACATTTTTGCTCTGTGCCAGGCAGTCCAACGCTAAGTTTTTCAAATGCAGGAAGCTGCACTGTTGAAAAGTTTATGATCAAGGTAACTTACATTAAAATCTTTACTTATGGCAAACCAGTCTGAAAAAAGCAACTTGAGAAATTTCTCAGGAAGTTCAGGATCTCACTCCAATCAGTACTATTCAGTGAACTTCACTCAGATTAGTTTCAGTACATATTGAGTTCAGTGAAAGATTTTGTTAGATGAAAAAAATATGTCTATGAAAACATACCATCAGATAGCAAACCAGGAACGAAGTTTAAAGATCCCAGTTAAAAATCTCAAAATCTTTTAAAAAATGTTTCTCTTCAAAGTGTGCATTTATATGGATGAAGACATAGCCTTTCAAATACACAAGGTTTTTTTAATCTTTAAGCTGAATATTCACTGTTCCCTTTCCTCTCAGTTGCTAAGTACATTTACAGCTTGTTTTTTTATAGCAGGTGTGAACACAATGCTGAACCTACTGGTGGACATGAGAGAATAGCAAGAGGGAAGAAAGAAGAACTAAACAACTGCAACTTGCATGAAACTGGAGTTTGAATTTGCACCCTCCTGTACAAGACACTGCAGACACATTCCAACATGCTTCTTGTATTAAAGTTTCCAAATTGGAAATATTACAAGCCAATAGTCCCTACCAGTTCAACGACAAGTGTTTAATGAAGAAATTAGACAGCAACACCCAAACTCCACCCCCAAAAAAACAAAACTGAAGAAAAAAAATCACTAGACATATTCATGGAATGACAGACACAGTAACACACAGGACTTCAAACAGTAATTCACTATATCCACCTCAGACTTGGAAGGAAAAAAAGTCTCATTACTGAGTACTCAGCTTGTGAATTGCAGAGCAAATAAAGCAGATATTAAAAATAGCTACTTGAAACTTCTCACTTAAACTGACTGGAATGGAGAAGTGCAGGAAAGCATAAATGGAAGAAAGAAAACCATCAATTTAAATGTAGAGAAAAAAGGAACATGTCAGAAGTCTTGTTTCTCGTTTTCTGTTATTCTTCAACTACAATTTTACCTAACCACAGAATGTTTTCTTAAAGAACCATCATTTAAATATTGTTAGAATTTGGCTTGAAAGTTAACACCAAATACTTACCTTATTAGACATTTGTTGGCAGTGCTGTTCTGTAGTATGGATCAATGTCTGGTCCAAATCTACCATGAGCACCAGTTTTCGATTTCGATGTAGTCGCTGTTGATCTTCTCTTCCTAGCTGCTCAGCTTGCTGGAACAAAATATTCACAACTAAGCTTATCTTAGAAGAAAAAAATATTAGGTATTGCCTTTTGTGTGTTGTAAACTTGAGAAGAAGTTCTGCTACAAACGAACTGCATAAGAAATGAAGCTTCAGCATAACTGTAGTGATGGCAGCTTTGTCAACAATTTTTGTACAGGAAAAAAAATATTCCCAAAGTCTACTTTGTGACACTAGTAACTCTTAAAATTGATAAACTCAACACAACAACTTCCAAATTTAATAACTAAGTAACCATCTAACTAATTTACGGCCAAGAGTCTTGAGAGGAAATTGCAGTAGCTTTGGGATAACGGACAAGTTCACCAGTAGGTCTGAAAACTTTGGCTGCTACGTTCAGCAATGTTGTATCAATTAGGTACAATATGGCTAACAGCACAAGGCTGAGTATAAAACTGAAGTTGCTAATGACAGAAATTACTATCACTGTCAACTTGAGCTTAAAGAATATATGCCTTCAGATATAAATAGTTAGATTATGCAGTTCTATGTGGGCACTGATATCAAAAGACCTTATGCTCCAGTAAATCTGAGTTGAAGTTTACTCCTCTTGTGCGTATTTACAAACTTTGAAAGTACTACATTAAGCTCTGTGTTCACTTCAACCACTTCTAATAGCAAGCTGCAGTGTTACGCACAAGACAGCTAAACTTCAAAAGTTAGTGGAGCATTATGAAGCAGCAGGAGTCAAGCACAAATTGCCCTTTGAAACACTCCTCTATGATGAGGACACTTCTAGCTGCTCATATCTTCATGTTTCTTCTCACTGGTGTTCTTTGAAGAGTTACCAAAAAAGAAGCAAGCAGCAACATAAAAAGGTAAAAAGAGATCAAGTTGGTAAGGAAGATAAACAGAATGTTTATCTTCAAAATAAACATGCTTTTTCATCTAAAGAAACTGAGGTATGAACAAGCATATTTTGATAACTCAACCAAATGGGCTATTTTAAAAATAATGAAATAAATTTAATATACAGGTAAGATGCAAACAAACTAGCTTTACTATATCTAGTAGGACCAATTTCAAGGTGAAGGGTGAAGCTAGGTTTCAAAGATGTTGCAAGCTTTGAACTCATTTCAGCTAGTGGAAACTGGATTTTCCACAAACTGCTCATTCTTAAGGACAAAAACATTAAAGCAGTAAGTGTTCAGGCTGCTGTCACAGAAGTGAAGTGCCATCTTTTCAGTGCACAGCTCTAAAAAAAACCCACTGTAAAACCCAGTAACAATCAATCTGCATTAGGGTAAACACACAAAAACCCCTGGGCTACTGATGTTCAACACCAAATTCCTCTTCAAAGAGAAGCCAAACTTTCTGTAGGAAGTATATACAACACTGAAGAAACTCCTAAAACTAAGCTTCTCAACTGTGGAGCTACAGTGAAAGGTATGAATAAAGAAAGCAGGATGGTACTTACCTCAGAGCTAACTTTCAGTTCTGGGACACTGTGAACCATAGACACAGTTGCTGTGGATAATGGCACATTCTGCTTTCCATTTTTGCTTCGTATCCTAACAGATAGTAATAGTTCAGTGAAATGTTGAACACTAAAATCTGTAGTATCAAACTAGTGGCCCCCAAAAAGCTATGATTAAGGAGAGCTATTTTGACTAATACACTCTTCCAAATTCTTGTTAATGCAAGTTACTGAACAAAATGGATAGAGAGGTCAAAGCAGCTCACCATAAAAACCTTGCAGAGTCACTGTAATTAGTTATGCTTCCATATAATTATTCCATGAAAAATGATACTAAGATGAAACAGACATTTATGTATTGAGTGGCATTAGAAAACAGTTATAAACTAAGTCTAACAACCAAACCATTCAAATTTAAAACTATTACTTTCCTTTTTTTGCAATCACTCAGCATGCAATTATCTAAATTCTCCAAGCCAGACTATGAAATAAATTTAAGCAAAGGATAGGCAGTTAGTCTTCACGCATAGCATGCTTTTCCCTTCAGCACAAACAGAATGAGGTACTATGTGTGTGTGTGCCTGTATTTATTTTATTTATGTGTATATTATACACATATACAGTCTTACTCATACACATATCCATATGAGATATAGATGCATGTATAAATTCAGATAAATATTAATACATACAGAATACATATCATCCTCATATATATGAGAGTGAGTGCGTGTATGAAATTCCTTGAAAACTGACCAAGTAATCTCACATAGCATCAGTACCACTGGCTTCCAGCTTACACAGATCAATTTGTTGGGAACTCTGATATCTAAAGACAAAGTTCACCAACTTAAAAAAATACTACCATAAAAATGTTGTCGTATGTGACACATGCACATCATTTAATTCCTTCAAGTGCCTGTCCTACCAAGGACAAAATTTGGTATCAGATCTACAGGCAGAGTTAAACTTCACCCAGTTTTCACTTCATGACAAGCAAGCTCTTGAAGACAAGAATGTTACTGGGCTGTGTTGAGGCAGACACAATCATAGACAGATATGCTTTTACTGTACCGTAGTGTTTGGAAGCACTGATACCCAGAAACGAAAGTCAGATATTTCATTTGGTCCAAAGTTTACATCCACATTTTAGCATCTTACATCCTTTGCTTCCAAGATCAGAACACCTCTTACATATAACATTGAATGGTATTTTAAATGAGCCTTTAAAAAAGATGAACTGTTTCAGACCATTTGTTGAATAAGCATAAAAATTGTTTAACAGAAAGGATGTACCACTGACTAACAACCAACAAGCTGGCAGTGAACTGGCTGTACTTGTTTTTCTTTAAGCAAGGAAAGCATTGATGCTTTAGAATTGTCTTCTGATGTAGGCTCTGCAGACTTAACACATTCTTTCAGATGTATAAGCCATTTTGTATAAAATGAAGACATGATCTGAAGTATAGGAGTATTAATTGAGAAGACAGAATTCACAGAATTCACTGCATACCCTGATTTATCTAGATTTTTAATGAAGTAATAATAGTATACCAATATTTAGATGTGACCGTATTCAAACCTTGAATCAAGTATTCATTCAGGGCAGGCAAAGCTGTATTCGCTATTATCCTAACTTTTTGTTAGGTTTGTTGTTTTGACAAATACTACTTGTTTACAAAATATTAAGAGTCAACTTTTAATGAAAAGTTATATCCAACCATTAACTGGGCTACATATTGCATAACATTTTCAGTATTCAGTCCACTTGTGCTGATTTATGTGATAATGCTCACAAAATAATTCTTAATAATGAGTATGAATTAAAATGAAACCAAAGTATTTCCTTCCAAATTAAATGAGCATGCAGCATTCATTTCTAAAATCCAGGCTACTATACAGTCCATTTTGGAAAACAGCTGTCAAATTAGTAATTTGATATGCATAAGAAACATTCTCTTTACCAACTATATTAGCAATGAGACAGAGCAAAAGAGAAATACAACCATTTTTTGAATTTGCTTTCTTTTTGGCCTAGGGCTTAAATTCCTTTAGTTCCATGGCAGAGTATTTCACAAAAAAATTGAAAACAGTTCTGAAGCCTTAAATTGAAAGCAAGGAGACAAGCTAGCTCCCATTCAGACATAGTACAAATGAAGCAAGGTCACATAAATGAGACTGATATTACCTCACAGCTATTTACACCTGCACAGATAAAACTCTCAGGTTTATTAAGTCACTGTTGACAACTCTCAACCTCAGTTATGAGTACATAAAAAGGAAAGTAGGATACACTGTGATGAGAACTTATGTCTGTATGCATGCTTTTTACATTTTCTACCTAAGGTAGTAAGTTATCCTACATTTACCTCCACAGAAAGAAAGCATGCACAGTTATTGAGTCATAAATTTGTAATGTGAACTGTAACTCAAGTACCCATGTGGCATCTTATTCGCCTATATTCCTAGTTATGAATCCCTGTAATGGCTAAAAGGTCATATGGTTCTAAACAATGTATCTGTGACTACAGTGACGTATAAGGAGAAAGAAGGCACATATTTGAAAATTTCGGGGTATAAAACCAAGTGCCTTATGTAAATAGCAAAAGTAAATTAAGACATTTTGTAACAGTGGCACAGATCCTGTGTATTTCCTCTTCATGTGTTGGCTTTATCCACAAGGAACACCAACTCCTGCCTACAAGCAGCAGTTTTTCAGTAAAGAATTATACTTTATTAAATGATCACTCTATTAATAATGTGATCAAGAATTAATATATTCAGACCACTCAACTATAAGCAACAATTTCATAAGGCAATCTCAATATACATATTTTTTTTAAAAGCAAATGTGAAAGAGTGCTTTATCATGAAATTTAACTTTTAGAGGAAACTCCCTCTCAACTTTCCTTATAAGAGCACTCTAAGTAGACCTACTTATGTTAGGCAGTATGAATACTGTTCTCCCTCCCTACTAGTCTCCACAATTTCACAGTTACCCTTACAGGTATAATTCACAACTACCAAGACTCAAAACAGAGAAGCAAAGTAGTAAATAAGAGAAGGAAGAGACTGGATCCCTAATTGCAAGCAAGGAGAAGTTGGAAAAAAGAATTGAGAATACTTACTGAGTCAAGTCCTGGCCACATTCTGCACACAAGCCTTTCATAACAACAGGATGGCTGCATCCTTCCAGTCTCACCAAGACACCCCTGAAAAAGATGTAGTCATTTCATTTATTGCAGGTTGATTTCGAACACTTAGATTAATGACTGCAGATTGAAAGAGTTCAAAGAATAATTTCTGGTTATGATTTGAGCGCTAGCCCCCTAAGATACATGCTTTTGTCCCAACATGGGGAAAAAGACACCAAGTATTCAAATTATTCACTTTCACACCTTTAAAAGTCACAGAAACATATATTAATGTCAGTTTCTAACCTTAGTTTAGCAAAGAAGTTCAGTGTATTAACAAAACAAGCACTGTTTGTCCAGAAACAGTTTTCATTCTATTAGATAAAACTCCCCATTACTATGCTACTGAGCTACACAGTTATGAAAATCAAATATGGAAACTTTAGAATTACAGAATCATTTAAGTTGGAAAAGACCTTTAATATCGAGTTCAACTGTAAACCTAACAGTGGCAAGTCCACCACTGAACCACGTCCCTAAGTGCCATATCTACACATCTTTTTAAATACCTCCAGGGATGGAGACTCAACCACTTCCCTGGGCAGCCTGTTCCAGTGCTTGATAACCCTTGCAGTGAAGAATTTTTTCCTAATATCCAATCTAAACCTCCCCGGGTACAACTTGAGGCCATTTGCTCTCGTCCTATCACTTGTTACTTGGGAAAAGAGACCAACACCCACCCTGCTACAAGCTCCTTCCAGGTAGTTGTAGAGAGCGATAAGGTCTCCCCCCAGCCTCCTTTTCTCCAGGCTAAACAACCCCAGTTCCCTCAGCCACTCCTCATAAGACTTGTGCTCTAGACCTTTCACCAACTTCACTGCCCTTCTTTGGCACTCCAGCAACTCAATGTCTGTCTTGTAGCAAGGCACCCAAAACCACACACAGTATTTGAGGTGCAGCCTCACCAGTGCCGAGTTCTACACTGATTTCATCTTAGTTTATTTTCTTCCATCATGGCAGAAACTTATATTGTCTCAGTCTTCTTGCAACAATATTTTAATTTTTGATCCTTAAGCCTTGGATTGCCACATTTTAAAATAAAGACATAAAAAAGGATATTCTATTCTTTCTTCCAAACAATGGCTAAAACAAACAAGAAATTGGAGCTTGAAATGCAGAGAAGTGTGACATTTACTATTCCAAACTGCTTAGATGACAAAGTCTGCCTTCAGTGGAATGATCCAACTGAAGTACTCCTTTGTTTAAATTCAGTTCTCAAAATTCAGGATCTTGAAAATATTGTCATTTATTTTCTCTCAATTACTTGAACAGTCATTACAAGACACTTCTCCCATTTTCTTCAATACAGTTGAAGGAGTTGATCTTTCCGACTAAGCTTTTTTTTAAAAAAAAAAAAAAACACACTAATATGTAGATATAGTTCAGCTACTACAAAATTTCCCCAACTCTGTGACCATGAGCTGCAGCATCTCTCTAATATTTTAGAAAAATAAAAAAGTCAAGCGGCAAAAAGCCAAAACCCAAGCTCTTTCATAAGCTGGTTGTAGTGTTTTCTCTTTGGCTTCAAATCTTCACTGCAATAAGCAGACAGCACTGGGAGAAAAACTGTTTTGCATGCTCAAATCTTTCATTCATATATTTGACTAGTAAGCATTTGGGAATTCCAAAAGGAAATCCACTTTCCAAATGACACCTGCAACTGCTTACTTCCAGTGTGTCACTCATTTCTCAATGACCAGAAGACCGATGACTCTACAACAAAACTGCAGCTGGTGCCCATGCTGAGCATTTATTCCTCTTTGAGAGCAAAATCTAGATGCAGGTCAGGTTTATTTAAAGGAAAGTCTTCACAAGCCATTATACTACCAGTATTCTCATTTACAAAAGGGCAGATCTATTCCCTTCTCACTAGCAGTCATCATCTGCTTGGACATTAAACCTCCTCTTCCTGTGTAAGCATTGTAGATCTCCTTTTTTAAGCACAGTATGTTTTCACAGAAAACAAATAAATAGTCAGTCTTGGTTTTGTACAAGAATTGCACAAGAGACAAGCTATTTTTGTGGCCCTTCACTACTGGCATTTCATCATTTGATTATTTAGTTCTCCTCTCGTCCCCCTACGTTGCATTATGTCATTGGACTCTTCTCCCCCCTCCCTTTGACAATATGTCTATCTTGCTGTCTTTTACCTTGATTCATTGCTAAGTTCCTTCTTTTTAGGCTGCCAATTTACCCTAAAGACCATGACAGAATTGCTCATCTTCAACCTATGTTCAGTGTATGAACCTGAAATTACACAAACACCTAAAAGGCCAAAAAACCCCACAATACAAGCTACAGAAATGTACATAAGAGTTTACAATGACTAAGTTTTTACCCCAATTTAGTTGGTTTTCAATAGTTCAGGAAAAAAGTCTTTTGATGCCAGCTTAGAAGCCAAAATATCTTCAGGCATTCTCTACTTTGCATCCAAGGTAACATCACACTCCAGGAATGCAACAGGAGGAGCTGGTGTACTCCTGGGCTGAGGTTTGATTCAAACTAGGACATGCAAGAGTTTCCATTCATGTACAGGTACACATCATTTTATCCTTTCAACATAGCAGAGATTCTTGCAAGAAAATTAGAGTTCTAAATCATTCATCGACATTGCTCCTAAGCAGCACCTGTATACCTTAACACATACCAAAGAGCACCGCTAAATATCAGTTCTGCCCCTGCACATTTAGATATGACCAGAACACCTAATTTTACGATGCTTACTACAGATAAAAAGTACACGATACCAAGCCCATCCTCTGTGATGATGTTTAACCCAAAGGTCAGAGGAAGAACTCCAGAGCACCAGCAAACTTCTGAGTACCATATAACCAAGCTGGTCAAGTTTCAAGTACAACTGTCAGGATCTCAAGCCGACTTCTCCCAGGGGAAAAACCTAAACAACCCACATATTACTTAATGCTGCAGAAAGAAGGCCTGGACTCTACTAATGCTTAAGCATACTTAAATATTTTACTCACTTAAATCTCAGCACATATGCTTTAATTACTGAAAAGGAATATACTGTGGAAGAACAAGCATGGAACTCAAGTAAAATGACTTTTGTGAATTTCAGAACTGGAAACAGTCCTTTTAGTGTTGAAGTGAGGGATTTTCAAAATATAATGGCCAAGATCCAAGACAATTATCAGACAAGAGTGAGCTGAATCAGTGTGCATGGCTATTTTAAAATGTCTGCATATACCAAATAGGGGTCCAGGTTTCTGCTCATTCTCTTCTCTGGGTCATGAGTAACACCCGCTTAAAGAACAGAGCTACTCCCAACTCCATTTCTGGAGAGAAGAAACAGATTCCCCCCTGCCCCCAAATCTGAAGAACTACAATATATTCTACTGCTGGCAGCATTAACAGCATCATCTTCTTTCTCTCCAGGCTTCTCCAGGACCCACTTGTTGATAAGCAGAGCTCATCAGCTACTTCAACAATAATGTTCCAACGAAAACTGCCACAAAAGATGCAAAGTCTTTTTCCTTACAAACTATCACAACCGTGCAAGTGATCCAGGCATTGGGGAAGAGCTGTTGGGCTGTGAAAGGCACACTTTTTTGGGGGAGTGGCTGTATATCATTTATTCCAATACCCACCCCAATAGCCAAAGGACTGCAACAGGACAGCAAGCTGCCCACATGGTTTCTTTTAAATCCCATTATATTTTGTTACTTAAGTGAAAATTCAACAAGTAAATAAGGAAACCTACTCTAGGATCTTATTCACATTCTTTCCAGATGTGCCTGTAAATAAGAAACAGAGACACTAGGTGTGCCATTATAGCAAAATTTCATTTTTGTTGCAATAATCATGGATAGGGACAGACACTTACTAACAGCCTCAGGATGCAGATGACCATAAGCCCGTCACTGTTCTCCCAGTACTTCCAGAGTTACACATTTTAACTATTTCTAAAACAAGTCCTTTAACAATATCTGCTTTCAATCAGCAGCATGGGAAAGAAAAAAAAACCCAACAGGAAAGCTTTCATGAAATCCAATACAAGCATTTTGCTTTTATTAACAGAGAAAGTCAATGCCTTTGCTAATTCTAAGGCCTGGTCATTACCACTGTCTCCAAAGGTAAGAACTTTGTATCAAGCACAACCATGGCTGTGGTTCCCAGTAGGTTAATTACCCTGGGAAAGCCAGCACATAAAGTTCTCATATCTATGCTACAATTTGCTACTCCTCAGTTGTAGCAACCAGTTAACTGGATCACTGAAGTGAACCCACTACAAACAAAAACCAACCCCCTAAAGGTTTTATTATTTTTTAAATCTGTTTTTTCAGCATGATCTAACACTTCCAGCAGTGAAGATCGACGGCAGAAAGTGCAGGAGTTACAGGAAAACAGGAGCAAGAACTTCTTGAGCTAGCTTATCATGGAGAACCTACCTGCAGCCAGGGAGGGAGGTTTGGCCAGCTGCAGCACATTGGTACAATGGTCATGAGACAGCTTTACAGAAGAAAACTACAAAGAGCTGTACCTTAAGGGTACCCAGCATAACCTGTCTGTTACCATGTTATCTCAGTTATTCAGAACTAGTCCAACTTGAGTGTACATTAGCCATGGCTGCCTATTACAGCTTTGGTTCCACTTCAGAGGCAGCTACTCCAATGGCTTGCTGCCCTTTTTTTCCTCCCCCCCCCCCCCATGTTTCCTCTGAAAGCCCACTCACTCCTTTGGCACTTCCAGAGAGGACTATTTCAGTACCTTGGGAGGTAGAAGAACTGATCAGCCCTACCCAGGTTTGCTGCTGGGTTTTGAGAGTCAAAGCAGCTGACAGAGCAGTCCAGCAAGCGTGACTGATAGGAAAAGATGAATGGTGCAAATGTTTTTACAAACAGGCCTAAGACTGCGGGAGGACAGAGACAGTTTGAACAACTCACACTTTCTCCCCACAGTAACCAGGCCACTTCGTTAGCATTTATCTTATCTATCTGTTCAAGACTAGCCTGAACATCTCCATGCCACTGAGATGTAAGTCTTATTTATTACCT